CACACACACACACACACACACACACACACACACACACACACACACACCATCATGCAGCCATCATCCGGCTGCTCCACTTGTAGTTACAGCACATGAGGCACTCTGATACGCACAATGGTGAAAAATGCTGATGACATGGTATAAATCCAGAAACAGACACGGCTGATTTAAGACTCATTCCTCAAAGGGTCACACGCGCACACACACACACACACATTACTGTACAGGCCACAGTACAACATCCACAACATCTGGCGGAATATGAAGCCGCTAGGAAACACTCGGAGATCAGAGGGTGCGTGATCTCTGCTCACTGAAGGAGGATGTACACGATGTCAGGGCGACACATGGAGACATGACACCCGGCAGGGGACACGCTGATGTGGCCACATTTGACCAAATGTGTGATAAGCCCTCACACGCTAAGCTATGTTCGAATTTAAGAGATTTAAGACAATGACATGAATGTGTTCAAGTGGGCACATTCTTCACACTTGCCTGGTATTCAAGAAAGAAAGAAAGGTAGAAAGCCTCTTGGTTTCAGTTATTAAGCATCTAGCTCACTCTGTGGAAAGATGACACCCCCGTTCTTTATCCCGTTTCTGCAACTGGCTGAAATAACCGTCGATGGGCGTGACATAAGATCCATCTGAATCGCTGAACACATCACACATGTGAGTGCTGATGCAAAATTCTGGAAACCAAACTATTACAGACCAACTTTGACCTGCAGTGCTTGCCATAGTTGTGCACAAACGCAGCTTGCTTTGGGGGGTGCGTACATCGTAAATATGAATCCCACTGCTCTTCTTGGCAAGACCCGCCCTGCGGTTCGGCATTAACCTCGAGTAGTTATGGTCAGGAATGAGGATAGCTCATTAGTCAGGGCACAGGACCGGAACAAAGCAGGTTACCGGTGCCTCAGCGAGCATGGACGCCTGGCCAATCCTAGCACTTGAATGCTGCACAGGGCGGGTCTTGTGAATAAAAGCAGTGGGATTCATAACCTTGTTAACCTCCATCTCCTAGTAACAGAGAGAGTGCAGGGACAGATGATGTTAGTCTAGTCTGCATAACTTCTTTATCTTACTGAAGTTTGTGCAGGTTAGAATCTATGCCCCCCCCCCCGGCTCTGAAACATCAGTAACCTAACTGACGCTGTCCTTGGTGCTGACGGATTTGTAATTGCGGCTTTTCCTGCCCTTCTTTCTATTTCATTTTAGATCTATAATCTGATATTCGTGACATTGAAGCGATACCGCCATGTTTCCATATCGCAGCAGTAACTTTGGTGGCCACATGTTTACCATCACCGGTAGAAATGATTGCTATTAAATCTGCTGGATTATTTACGTGATTTCTAGCTAAAAGGAAAGAATGGTTTTTAGAGTGGAGGCTGCAGGAGAATCAGAGCTCCTCTCCGGTGCAGTCACATGGGCCTCTGCATGACGCTTAGCTCTGCGTTATCGCAGTGAGTGCGTGTAACGGCGTGAGCGTGTATGTGTGTAAATACTGTAGTGAGGGGTTTGCAATGTGAGAAGTGAATTTTAAGGAGTGTGAATGGAGATCTCTTCGAGTAAAAAACACCTCATTGGTGTCACTGTATGTGCTGCATTTCCTCAAACAGAATTTCCTGTTGCAAAGCAGGTGTTGACGTTTGTCTCCTCTTCTTCTTTGGATGTCAGAAGCTAAAAAGCTTCTGACATCCAAATTAGTTCAGTGCAGCTTGAATAAAGTTTTGTACAGTAAAAAATATAAAACGGTTCCTTTTTGTGCCATGAGGTCATTGGGCAAATCCAAAATCTGAACCCAAATATGTAATGCAGCATAGGCGATCGTTGTCCGAATGGTTTTCTAATTATGTCGATGACTTAAAGTGTGTGAAATAGCACAGTGAGAAGCTGAACCATCTGTCCTGCTGGCAGATACTGGAGTTGTGGGTTGACGCTCGGAAAAGGAAAGAATATTCACTGTGTGTGTGTGTGTGTGTGTATGGAGGAAGGCCCAGGAGACTACAGAGAGAAGGAAGCTCTGAATGTTTGCCCTGCGTTGCTGTGAATGAAAGGCACAGAGAAACAATAGCGCCTCAAAAAACTTCTTTTGTGTGTGTCTGTAAGTGTGTGAGGCAACCAGAGCACTAATCAATCCAGACATGACAGCTCAAAAGCAACAGCAGAATTTGTACTGTACAAAAACAACCCGCATTGGGAGTGTATAGATATGTCAGAAATGAAATAGGCAGAGGAGGGAGCGTGACAAAAACAGTCCCTGGCTTTATCACTCTGTGCTGATGATTTGAGATACGATCATGTTTTTGGTTTAATATGTTTTTAGATTTCTTTAGATCTTCTCACTAAGGCAGCAAATAAGTATATCTCCCAAATTGTCCTGCTATCTCTTTAATTGACACTGATATTAAGCTGCTATGACACTTTGCTGTACCTAAAATGTGTTAACCCTGTGCATAAATAATACAATAATAATATAAGCACAAAAACTCTGTCAGATATGTTAAGAAGCCTTCCTGTGTTCCTCTCAGCAAATGTGTAGTTCAGTCTGATAATAGACATCGTTCAAAAACAACATAAATACACCCGTTGGCTTGACTGGAATAGAAACACTCCTACAGGATGAGACAGCTGGGCAGTGAACAGGCCGCTGCAGACTGAGGAGTTAAGAAGAGGGACGAAAGCACTCGGAATGTGGCAGAAAGTCGGAAATGGCCTCTAGGGGCTCGCTGCCCATGGGGATATTTGACCAGCTCTGTTTACTTAAGCAGACTGTGCTTTTACCACGGGGATGGTAGGGATCACCGACACTGACTCACTTTTTATTTACAGAGGCCACTTTTGGAGTGAGGCGGGGGAGGAGAAAGGAGAGGCCTCTGTAACGGCTCGCTTGCAGCCTAAGAGGTCCTTTGTGTACCGTTCGTCTTCCAATCTGGAGGCTAAATGAGCAGTTTAAGCCGAGGCTCTGTCAGAGTGTTAGAGTGGAGGGGTGCTGCCCGCCAGTGCCTCTGCTTACAACTGCTGAGTAAGATGCTGCGTGGCATCAACATCAGCAGGAGAGCTAATGTGCAAGCTGATTTGTGTGTGTATTTTTGTGCTCCTGACTCCGGGGGGTGAGAATACACCCATTGTTTGAGCAGGAGGACAGGCGGTCGAGGGACAGACCCGTAGCTTTTCTCCTTTATTAGAGCCAGATGTCTGTGTGGGGGTGAAAAAACAAAGAAAAATAAGGCTGGTCTCTCATTATAACCCTCTCACACAGGCATGTGCACACACTACAGTAATACTACTATAACACTAGAGGTTTGCAGCTAAAATATGTCTGTGTCCCAAAAGAAATGTCTACTTATTATCTAAGATTTAGTTATCACACCTATCAGTTACGCTGACATTTCACTCCCCAGAGACATGGAGTCAGCACCAGACAAAACGTTACAATGAAGTGGAACCTGAAATTGCAGTAAGAGCTATCAGTTACACAGGTAGGCTACAGTTTACACAAATATAAATTTGGAAGTAAAAACTCTCGACAAATTGTTCATTAAAAACACCCCCTGCATTGCAGAGCTGTATGTACGTGACTTTACATTATTTACAACGGACAATTAATAGTTTTAGTTTCATTGTGGCCAACTTTTCATGCTGTAGCAATAGAGTTGATCTTTTTTTATTTATATATAAAGCTTAGTCTAGCAGCATGGCCGGAAAAACCTGCTAGGTGGCCGCGGGGCAAAAATGAGACCCCATTAACCCCTCAATCTTTCCCCCTCTATGTGCACTGTGTACAGTATTCCTATGCACGGATATTACAGCGGGCGTAGTGTAAACAGTGATAAAGTCGGGAGGAGGTGTGGTGGATGGATAGGTCAGAAAACACAGGACTTTAACCCAGGAGACAGGTATGCGTCTCCTGTGTGAAACCATTAGTCAACGTTAACTTATTTTAAGTTATCTACTTAACTTACGTAACACACTTACATGCGTACTTAAGTCGCGTTCATAACTTGGCTTACTTAAACTATGTAACAGACTTATTCAAGTCCAAACCATGATCTTTTCCTAAACCTAACCCAGTAGTTTTGTTGCCTTAACTCTCAACCAGTTGTTTCCATTAATGGAAGTTTATTTTGAAAAGACAGTTGTCTGTACCGACACTAGGGGTGTACGTATAGGTGCCATGGTTTGAAGCGTGAGGCCACTGACCAAGCTGCCATATTTCATGAATTGGTAATGAGAATTATGTTCAAATGTGTGGCCAAATTAAATTATTATTATTATTAAAATAAAATGTTAACTTTAATTTATTAATACTGTACATAATGTACTTCTGGTTCTTTATATTGTAATTCTACTACTGCTAGTTTTCCATTGTCTGGATTGAGGGTCTACGTCGTACTGCATGTTACTTATTGTGAAGCCCTCTGAGACAAATTTGTGATATAGGGCCATCAAGATGGTCTTGAGTTCACTTTACAGGGCCTCAAAACAAACCAGGACTTAAGGCCCTTATCATCCGTCCATTAGTTAAACCCCCTTTTTACTTTTTAGAGGGTTGTGGTAGAGTGCAGCAAATTTTTTTTGCCATCTAAGCGCAAAAATGCAGGTCTTAACACTACATTGTGACCGGGCCTCGAGATCGGGTAAAGAAGGACCCACTTTAAGGCCCAAATTATGCCAGTTGATATTGTTCTTTGGTTCGTGCATATTGCCACAAATCTGCTTCACTATTTGCTGATCCAGCGTTGTCTAGCAGTATCACAGCATAAGCGACCTCTCTACACTGAATCTGGTGAGTCAAATGTTATCAATACCAGCAGGAATGATGGTCAAAACGTATAAAACTCAGTCTAACAGACTGCACAAGAAAATATTATTTCTGGTTCAGTCAAGTGCAACAAAGAAATCCAGCTTTTCCAAAAAAAAGTGGTTTATAATTTACAAAGAGGTATAAACAAAATGACTCCCCGCTCTCTCTCTTCCTCCCTCCCTCCCTCCCTCCTGTATGATACTTACGGCCTGTAATCCAATTCACAGCGTGATGGAGAGTGCAGTTGTTAACCTTGACATTGCTCTAACATTAATCACATTACAGTATGAGATACAGTCTCTGATTCTGTGAAGCAGGCAGTAGATTTGTTGATATGTACACAGAGTAGCAGCTAGCTCTCGTGTTCAGGTTGGGGAGGTGGCGGGGTCTCACCATGAATTCACTTAACAGCAATGCTGTGCACTGAACACACTTGAGTGTGGATCTCTGAGGCTCTCGCAGCCGTTTTGGCACCAAATGTTTGACAAAAGGAAACAGAGAAGAAGAACACATAAATCTCTGATGATCTCAGACACAGAAGGACAAAGCCATGGGCTGAAAATGCACCGCGAGACCTTCAGAAATGAAAATGCGTATCGGAGGCAAGTTCTGAAGAAAGGAAGCAACATGACAGAACACTGACAGTTTAACTTTAAAACATTTCCTAAAATGAGCACATGAAAAAAAAATCTTTCTCTCTTTAACTAACAAAGCTAATTAAATAATCTTTTGTTATTGCTGCTCGCAGCAATGCTTAATAAAACAATACAAACCAAAAATAAGCATAGAAACAAAAGGGTCATCTTAATTTACTGAAAGACATGTTTGGTCGTCTGAGCAGGGGCTTTTGTGGGAGTGTCCCTGGAGATGTCCACTGGGCCCCTGGGCGGGGCCGGTGGGGCGCGGCAGGGCGGGGTTATGAGATCCAGTGCCTTTAACCCTTCCACAACCACACAGGCTGTCTCTTATCTTTCAGCTCAGAATTTCTGTGCAGACTTGTCACTCCCAGCTTGTGCTCCCAATTGCTGTGAAACATCTTGTACCTTTCTAACAACTTCCTTGTAGCTCAAAGTGTTAAGGATGCTCGGTGTCACAGGCAATGATTTATTAAGCACTTCCACACTTCACCGCCGCAGCTGAAGACTCCGTCTTCCTTGGGGTTCTCAAGGTGTAACACAAGAGGTCCCCTCTGCCAACATCATAATTATAGAGACCAATAACAACTTGTTTTGTAAAAACTGTTGGCTGATGGCCATATCATTACGGTTACAGTTGTAGAGTCTTGAGAGTTAAGCCAGTAGCCATCTATTACAGGGCGGTGATGAGGTGATGTTTCCCTCTGAAATGTATGGATCTAACGTGGGGCAAAGTTGACGGGCGCTAACACACCGCGCTGACAGAGTGGTGAGGAAATGAATGGTGTTTTTTACAATTTGACGGAGTTTCTCTACTGATCAGGGGGGAAGGGGGAGATAAGCTTAGCTCCCACGATGCGTTGGGGTCAGGGCGCGTGCGAGGCCACTGTTTGCTTTGTAGAATCTGAAGCAGCCTAATTTGTCAGCAGTTTGTTTAAAGTAGGGGACCATCAGGAGAATCCCTCTTCAGGTCTGTCTGTGAGGATAAGTTACCCTTTTTAAATCACCTTGAAGACCTGCTTCACCCACACTTTTTAGTCTTTGCATGCATTTGCTCCATTTAGCCCACATTCCCAACCAGCGCTCTGTGTATCACACAGAGTTGATTAGACATCCTCCCCCTTATGCCCAGACAAGCACGCATTACCTTTCTCTCTTTCAGCACCTGTTTATATGTCTAATTCAGACCCCACGCCTGCAAGTTACGACGACAGTTTTTTAAAAAATCAAGTTTGCCTCCAAAAAATTCCCTCCACTCACTTTGTTGCCTCTCCTTAAACAAGGCAGCCATTCTCCCAGAGTCCCAGCTCTGCCCTCCATTAGTCCAGCCGGAGGTAGCTAGGTGTGGAGTAGTTGAACATGAGGAAATCTAACTTATAAAGCTGGTAGAGCTGGATCTGCTGCTGGGTGCTGATATTACTGAAGAACTGGGCCGTCATGGTATCTGTGGTACGGGTGGACTTGGCATAGCTCGGGAAGCGCAAGGAGTCGCCAACGCCCACTAGCCGCAACACGTAGTTAGCATCCTCTTCCAGCGTCTCATACTTGCCCACCAGGTCGTAGTGGATGTGACATGGGTGACAAAGCTGGTAAACGGACTGCCAGTGCTCGTTGAGCGGGCCGTCACGCTGCGTTGCCGGATCTACCAAGTACTCCACGAATTCCTTGAATTTGACATCAGCGCCGTTGAACAGGGCGTCCTGCGTGGCATTCTTGCGGTAGCGGCGGATGATGCGGGTGCCGAAGCGCTTGTGGAAGGACGAGTTGTACTTGAGGGTGAACTTGTTGCGGTATGCGGAGACCAGCCTCTCGAAGGGCTCGCGAACAAAGAGGAACTTGAGGTAGTTCTTGAGGCGGTGGTTGATCTCAGCAATACTGTACTGGTTCAGCGTCTTCAGGTTAGAAGGGATGTGGGCTTCATTGGAAGGGATATCCATTGGGTCACTGTAGAAGAGAGGCATAGGGACAATGAGCAAAAAAAAACTAATATGCATTGACGTCCTTGTATCAACTTCCACTGTAATGAGAGCCACCTGCAGGGATGTAACCACATCCTACAACACATGTCCTGTGCATATTGCTTCCTATTTGTCAATCTCAAAGCAGTACATTTAGAAGGGGAATGACTGGCCACTAGTACTGACCTGTATTTGCCTCGGCCTGTGAGCACCATCATGACGCGTTTCCAGTTGGTACAGGCCACCTTGGGGACGTAGCAGTAGATGAGCTCGTGGTCCTCGTCCACCACGAGGTGTTTCAGGTCTCCGGGTGTCAGGACTCTGCGCTTACGGCTGGACGCACTGTAGACTCGACAGGCATCCACCACTTGATCCCGCCTGGCCTGGTGGAACACGGCTGCTCCGGACAACTCCGCCTGTTCAGGCATAGACAGAGAAGTAGGGAGTGGGAGAGAGAAATGATGTAAAAAGGGTGACTGCCAGCTCTTGACATAAAACATTCGGCCATTTCAACAGAATGAAATAAACATTGGTCATTTCTTGCTTTTTTTGGCTGAAAAATGAAGTTTTAGGGTGTTAGCTGAGTAACCATAGCAACTGTTAGTCAACCATATCTTTTGATTTACACACTGACTAATGAACCCAGCAGAGGCTAGTACATGCTCGTTGGGGCATCAAAGTCAGTTCCCTTGGTGGCCAAATTAGCTTGTTGGGTAGTTGGCAAATAAATCCAAAATGGGGGCTATTGGTTTGTCTGTCAGAGTAATCCGGGTTTTACTCAAACACAAATATGCAGTAGGCTAAATTAAATATGTATAATATTATATAAATTACATTATAGTATGATATAATAATATATCAGTCAACTTTAAATGTACTTTATGTTACATCCGATAATATATTATAAAACATCAATGTTTCTTACTTATACATACATTTAAAAATGTATAGAAATTATATGGGGATACTTTTTACGAAATATGAACAGTCCACACATTCTTACTTCAAAATCGTCAAATAATAACACTTGGTCAGTGGCCCTACGCTTCAAACTGTGGTGCTCTAGGTACCCCACTAGTGTCAGTTTCCAATCTTTACAAGCATAGTGACTTTTCAAAATAAACTTCCAACGTATGTTTACTAAGTTTTAAAGTTCACTTAGTTAGGTTTTTGGCAACACAAGTACTTGGTTAGGCTTTGGAAAAAGTTGCGGTTGGGTTCCAAATAACTACAGTTGTTGTAACCTGCCATTAGTTAAGCACAAAAGTTACGTAACAAAACTAACCATAAGTCAACGTAGACTTGGTTTCACATGGGACACAAACAACGGTCTCCTGATTAAACGTCCTGTTTGTTTGACACATCCATCACCGCCGACCTCCACCCTAAGATGACTTTCTCACTCTTTATACTACATCAGTTGCTCTTTGCATGTAATACTTATGCGGATGTGTTTATTAGTTAGTTGAAAGCCTGGTGTGTCTCATACAGACACTAAAAGTTGCGTCGAGGGGCTCTGACCAAGCAATGGTATTTTTTGAGTACGGGTTGGAAAAGCAGAAATAATTGCCACAGTATTATAATATAAAGCCAATATATTGTTTTTCAAATACTATTTGGTTTCACAGTACATTGCAGATTTCAATATATGGACAGTATATTTCTGAGCAGAATTATCTCTTTCAGGTAGAACTTTTCTAGCCCAATTGTTGGAAAATGTTTTCACAGATTAGAGATTTGTGACCAAATGATTTCCTGTCTCTGAAGTCTTTTGTTGTCTCTACACTTTTGTCCACATTATATAACTTCCTTAGCAGTGGATGGAAAATCTCCCTGTGCCAATAAAGCACTCTAAAATGAATGAATCTGAACCGTAGCAGAAAGAGGGAGGGATGAAGAGAGATAGAGCGTGTGTTATTAATCACAGCTTTTATTATTATACTCATCTCTTTATTGACTATCTTTTTTCCCTATCTGAGTCGCTCCGCAGACTATGTTAGATTAGTTCACGGGTGTGGAGGAAGATAATGATATTGGAGGATATTACAGATATTGAATGTTCAATATGCGCAAATTCAAGCAGCAATCATTCATCTGAGGCATATTTCATATTCCCCCTGATGCTTGTGATGAAGAGGACCATGGCAGGAGGGAAAGAAGGAGGCTGAGGAGGATTCAACGGAGTCTGAGGCGGAGAGCAGCACAGGGGCTTTGCATCTGAAGGGCAGCAATGTTTTCTTATGCCTCTTGATTATTTTTCTTCTTGGTCTGAATTCCCCTCCAGGGCAGTTCCCCGGTTTCCTCGCCTGATCTAAATTGATTGTAATGCTTCTTTACCAATCCATCCCACTCGCAACAAGTATGGCCTTTCCAGGACTGTCATAGAGCGCTGAAATCACTCAAGGGACCACCACCCAGCGTTAAACACGAAGACAGCGTGACTTGTATGTATTTCTCTTTGAAATCACTCTTCCATTATGTTCCCAAGTGGGAAGCATGTGCAAAGCTTGCTACAAGAACACGGACGCAAACCGATCTTTGATACCTTTTTTATCTGATGCCAACATACAAAAGCAGTCATGGAGGAGTCATGGAGCAAATGCATGACCTTAAAATCTGAGATATTTCACACAAAAGTCTATGAAAGTCACATTTCATAGTCTGCCGCTTTGTCAATGAGCTCCATTGGATAGTCATGTGGGGATACGGGTCATAGGTCGCGGCTCTCTGTCTTCATTTCCTTGAAAAATCAATTGGGTAAAGAGTTGGGAGGAAGGGTTTTTCCCACTGTGAATTCACATGACAATAATCAAGGCAGAAACACTTATATTATAAATATATTGTAGTCATGCTTTCAGTTAAAAAAACGATTCCCCCTTTTGGACACTGTTACAGTATGTACAGTCTTGAAACCTTTGCTTGTACTTAATATAAATGAGAACTTTTGTCAAACATCGTCTCTATTGTTGCTTCAACCTGAAGTTTCATCTTCATCTCTGAGTGATGCAACTAATCTAACGCCGAGTATGGAAACACCCAACAGATGACATTTCTCATTCTTGTGCAAACAGTGTAACTTTTGGATGACTTTTTTCCACTAAATAATATCTGCTTTCACAGAAAATGGATTTCGCCCCCAACAAAAACCTTGTGCACAAATCAATCTTATTTTCACAAGATAATAACCTTTGCCCACAACGGATGGATCTCGGCCCTGTACGGAAATAACCTGCGTGCACAACTATCATAACTTGTGCACACATATTGATCTTTCCCCCAACAGATTTGTGAGCACAACATATCTTGGTCCCACAAAATTGCACCCGCAACTTAATACCTTGTTCCAACAATCAATCTAGAATCTAGAAAAAAAATACTATTTGAATGGTTTTGCTTGCAGCCAATAAAAGAATAAATGAGCCAATCACCGCTGTATTAGTGCTGTGCAGTTAGCTACCCAGTAGGACACACACGAAGCTTCCATTCACATGATTATCGTATTGAGTAGCGTACAAAGTACTCTATTGGTATCGGTAGCCCTTTAAGGGTACTGGTTTTGGTACTCGCATCAGTGATATTTTATGTGGACAACTAAAAATTCCCACAAGATTAAAAATGTAATCTTTCCCCCATTGTTAATGGAAAAAAAGTTGTCCTTAACAACTTTATTAGTTTCTTTAGTTCATCACATCTCCATTCCGTTACCTCTGGTTTAACCTCTTACACACTTTCCATATATTTTTCTTTTCTTTCAAATGCTCATTTAAAGCATTTTCAAAGAAGAATGAACGTCTCTGCTCCCCTCCCACTTCTTCTGTCTTTGTGTGCTCGCCATGCTTAAGCCAACACATCAAAGCCCACAGAGGCGTAACCGTGCACGGAGAATAACAGCTCTTTGTTGATGAAAACCCCACTCAGAGACATCAAGCTGTATGATTCACACAAATGTTGCAGGCCCTCCGTCCCAGAGGAGGACAAACGCTGCAATTATCATGGGAAAAAGGGAGGGAATCTTGTCATCTCCTGCTCTGCCTCAGTGTTCCTCTCCTTATCTCCCTTCTTTCTACAGGATTACTTTCTGCTATTTTATCTCCGCGTCTCCAGCTCGTTCGAATCTCTTGTGCAGTTTGGATGAAAGGGTGAGGACTAGTGGGGGAGAGGGGGGGGAGAGATGAGAGAGGCGATAAGTCGATACAATCTGAGAGGGAGCTGTGATGGAGATCGCTGACCTCTGGCCATGTCAAGCTGTTCCCATGGGAGAGCAGAGACCATTTACATGCATCATTGCTTGCACAGTAGCCCTCTAATCCCCTGTGGACACAAACAAGTCGGTCAGCATCGGACAACAACTGAAATAAAACTACACTTAGCAGCTTTGTATGATGTTGTCAATTTAGTTTCGAGTAATTTCTCCGTGCAGCTGCGGTATATGATGAATTACTAAGTGTTACAGCATGATTCTATGTATTGATTTAGATGTGACGATCCATCAAAACTGGGAGAAAATTCAAAGGAAAGACTTATGCATACTATTAAACCTAATCTCACCAAAAACACCATTATCAGTGTTGTGTTTGCAAAAAGAAAAGTCTCTGTTTTCTTATCTTCAGACGTCGAGAGGAGCCCATTGTGCATTCACGACGGCGCTCGTTTCCTGCTCGCTGCACATTTGTCGTTAAAACATTTGAGAAACGGATGACGGGAACTGTGGAGATTGTGATTCCATATTTCAAGTCTTCATGGATGCGCGATTCTCAGCGAAAGTTGTTATGAGTTTGAAATATGATCTGAGCATCAGCACGGATGCGCAGTGGCGGTAATGAATAGCTTCCTCCTGATCTGCTTATGGTTGCAAAGAAAGAAAGAGAGCGGGAGGAAGCTAGGAGGGGATTACAAATGGAAGGAAGGAGGGAGGGAAGTTACTAAAAGTACAAAGTGGGCAACTACCCCGGCACACCGCGTCCCAAAAGGCCTTGAAAGGTCAGTTTAAAATGATTGTTGGTCATCTAATTTATTTAATGAATTACAAGATCAACTAAAGTCCATCATTAGCTACTGTAATGCTTCTTTAAGCACGTTTCATTTAAGTTTTTACATGACGCACATCAAAATAAATTAGAATAAGCACAATGTGACTGACACACTAGTTAGCTTCTGGAGTCTGGGCAAATAATGACAATGTAATGTGAACTCAGCTATTTGCACTGTACTGTATAAATTACACGTCACTTTTAAGGACATTTCACGTGTCATGTCTACTCAGTTAAAGCATTTTGCATGTCATTTAACTCCCTTTCTGATTAACAACTCGTCACATACGGATGCAGTTTTAAACACGTTGTTAGGTTTAGGAAAAGATAATGACAATAATTATGTTTAGAGTTACGCAAATAAAGTTACGTATAAGTTAAGTAGT